TATATATATATATATATAAGTTGGTTCTTATTAAAAAAAAACTCATAAAGCTTAATAAGAACCCTTAAAAAATATTTTATTAGAGATGGAATAAGGGAGTACTCCCACCAATTTAAATTGTCAAATTATTAATTATTATTTGAAGGTTTAAATATATTTTATTTTCAAAAAATGAGTAAATTTTTTTTTTCAGTTTTTCATCTTTCTAAAATTTGTAGATATTGTTTTTGTAATTGAAAATGAAAAAAAAAAAAAAAACTATAATCCTAAATCCAACAAACACCTCCACAGCTCCACTTGCTAGGAGAGAAATAAAAAACAGAAAGTTGCCTACTATTTAAGGTTCTTTCTTTGCCGACATGTTTAGACTTTCTTCGTCATTTGCTTATAATGGAATATTAAAAAAGACGAACACTTTTAACTTTTTATTATTGATTGAATTTTATGAATATTTCACTAAATAATTTTAGTTCACTCTATTTAGTGAGATTTGTTTATGAAATTCACCCACGAATAAAGACCGTGGAAAAGTTTGTGAGTTTAACATTTTAAATATGATTAATAATATTCTGATTCGTATTTAAAAAAAAAAAATACTAAAGCTCTGACTATTAGTGCCACTACTGTTCACATTTTAAGTAATTATTTAGCAATTTAGGGAAAAGAGTTAATCCTATTATTACTGTCCTTTGTCAATACTATCATCAATAATGAATTGGTTATTTCTATTTAAACTGGAAATTAAATATTTATTACTGAGAAAAAAAACTATAATCATGTAGCTAGGACACTAATTATGAGTTACAACTTTTTTCAGGAAAAAAAAATATAGGATCAATATATATTAGGAGAATCTCATATAATCATGTAATTATATATTGGAAGATATTTAAGAGATTAATATACACGTCTAGAAAATCATGATCAAGCCATATTAAGAGAGTCTTATATAATTATATATTTAAGAATATTTAGAAAATCATGATCAAGTCATGTTCTAAGATTTGTTGACCGTATGATTTGTATATATTATATACAATTCTGTTACTGAAATATAAAGAAAAAAAATTGGAAAAATCATGATTGTTTTTGTATGGAAGCCGTGGGGACAATATGATGGTTGCATGATTATGGTAAGAGCGTGGTATCTTAAAAAGAATAAGATATACTTCTCCTTTTAAACACGTCCTAATAAATTGCATAACTTCAAGGATTTACAAGGCATCTTAATAATCTTTTAAATGGGTCAAGATTATCTTAATTATGGTTGCTTCTCTATGTCATTCATTGTTGTTTCTTTGAATTTGCTTCATTAATAGGATTACGATTTAACTTTGATTGTTGCAAATTAGTAACACAATCGAATCTTAAGCAAATAGATCAAATTTTGATCATCGGCAACTTAACTATGAGAATGACCTCTTCTTTAGTTTTAATTAATGCTTGAACCAAAATATGTTATTATTATTTGAACATGTGTAATTATGAGAGATGTTTAGTATCAATTCATATAGCATCAATTCTTGTGTGACTTACCCATGACTTATTGATAAAGTTCTTCCTAGTGTTAACCTCTTTGTGTTTCCAACAGTTTAAATATCCTAAAAAATACCATCATCGGATTTAGACTTAAACTTTCTAAAGTTATTGTTATCATTGTTCAAGATAAAGCATTTGCAACCAAATAGGGGGAACAAGCAAATGGGTAGTGATGATAAAGGTTGGGCCCAAGCGGCCCAGCTCACTAAAATAGGTGGGCTAATGATATATATACCCTTTTTTTTTTTATAAGTACATCTTCTTTAATTTTTTTTAAAAAAATCTTAAAATATTTATAACTTTTTTTATTCTTAAAATTTTTAATTTTACATTTCTAACTTTCAATTTACTATTTTTTCTTTTCACACACTTCGTTCCTTCTCTTTTCCAGTTTTCACATGTATTATTTTATCTTCCTCTAATTTCTCACCTACTTTAGTAGGTAGTTTTAGTTCTCTCAATTCTTATATCATTCTCTTATTTTCTCACCTCTTTCACTTTTTTACATGCACCCAAATCATAGAACTTGTAAGCGACAACATTGTAGGTACGTGTAATTTTCTCGACAATTTCTATCAAATTAGACACACATTTTTTCTTCCAACACTTCTTTTTCTTTCACCCCTCCAAAAACCTTAACATTAAATTTAGTGTTATGAAAAGACATTTTCACTATTCTATAATACTATACAAATAGTGAAATCAATGAGAAAATTGAAAGAGGAAGGGTAAAAGAATAATGTAAGACTAAAAGAATTAAAATTACTTACCAAAATAGGTGGAGGTGAAGAAAAATTAAGGAAGTACATGTGAAAAATAAGAGAAAAATGTATATAAAAAAAAGTGTTAAATTAAATGTTAGGGGTGTAAAAATAAAAAATCAAAAAATTTAAAAATTAAAGACATTTTAAGAATTTAATTATTTTTCTAAAAAAAAAAGGTGTACTTATAAAAATAAAAAAAAAGGAGGTGTATATATCATCATCCAAATAGGTGGGGTTAGGTAAGAGATTAAACCCACTAACTTCACAACTTATTTTGTCCCTTCCTACTACCCTAATGGGCTCGGTTGAGCAAGGCAAGTTGGCCCGTTGGACTCTTTTTTTTTTTTTTTTATCTATAAAGTGTTTAAGACTTGAGTGATATATACTATTGTAGATTATTTTAAATTACAATTGGGGTTGTGACCATTAGGGTCGCAAGTATTGGCGTATTGCAGTTGTTGTGATGCACATTTTAGTTGGTACGACATGAAATTATTGTACATTTACATTTATCATAAAATATAATTCTATAATAAGAAAAATCAATTGAAGCTTTCTATTACAATTTTTCACAATGCACTTTCTTTCCCCCTTGCCTATAACACATCACACATCCATCCAACACTTGAACCAACAATCATTAATTGATTCCATTGATTCCCTAACATCCCACGTGACCAGACATATTAAAATAGAAGATTGGAGTTTTTATCTGTCTTTTTGATAATTAAAAAGGGGAGTACAAGAGTGTTGCGGTTTTGTTGCAACTCTGTTGGGTTGCGTTGCGGTTTTTTTTTTTTTTTTTTTTTTTCTGAAGTTT